AATAAATAAATAAATAATAATAATAATAATAATAATAATAATAATAATAATAATAATAATAATAATAATTAAAAAATGCAGATATATACCCAAATCTGGAAAAACACATCAAAAGAGTCCATCTGAGAAGCCTTATATCAGCCTGGGAAATTCCCCGTATACAAATTCTCAAAAGGATTTTTTGTTATGTACAATGAGAATCCCTTAATATCACCAAACAAGATTACAATTTAGTTGTGAAATTGTCACAAATGACATCAATTCATGCAATATGAACAAAGCAGAGTTGTGCAGACTGCTAACCATTTTGGGGAACTGTTGTGTAATTTCAGGAGAGTAGGTGTTTTCTTGGGAGCTTTTTCTTAGTGACACCACCACAAAGATCTGGAAAAGCTGCTGCTGCTGCATCTGGATCAGGTCTCTCTCCAGGGTGCGGTAGCCTGGCCTTCGTTTCAATGTAGACTGGATGTAAACTGATCTCCTGGAGCCTGTTCAACACCACACAGTGACACAATACAGTCATGTTTATCCTGGGAAAAATCCCAACCAGCACAGAGAAGCAATAAAAGGTCTTCTTAATGTCTATATAATGTAAAACTGTAGCTATAACACTGACTACTTTAAGGTTGCTCAATGATGACCTATCATGCTAATTTCTAACTCTGCTTTTTATTCTTCAACTCTACTACAGCGTTGCATGATTCACACTAAATAAAGAATCCTTTTTATCTTATGCTGAGCCTTGATTCAACTTATTTCATTCACTGCCTGAAACAAGCTGTTTTAGCTCCATCTTTCTAATGAATGACTTATCCTTTAAACATTAGTTGAGCTCCTTATTAAAAACTTTGGAGATGTTTGGTGTGATCATTTAACACTAACACTATACAGTATATGATGTTTTTATCTTCTCCTTTTACCGTAGCACTGGATTTATACTTTCATTTTTAGGAACTAATAGTATTTACTCCATATAAAGTTATCTACCTGTAAACTTTACCCAGAATTAGCATAAAGTGAAAGATTCTGTGCGTTTGTTATACCTTTGGTGCCGTCCTCAGGGTCGCTCTCAGTCCCGCTGGTCTCCTCTGCTTATATAAATTGGAGGAGGAGGGATAGATTAGTGAGAAGCAGAGGAATGGGGAAAACTTGACAGGCCATAATCAGATGCAGACAGCAAGTCTTTGTTTCATAATTTCATTTCATTGCCGACTGCGACTGGCCTTATGTGTATCATCAAAAGATGGGTATTTCCACCAAGAGGCTCAACTTAATCTTGATGTGTTGATGTGGATCTGCCACTATGTGTTTGTGTCTCACCTCGCACGGTGACTCCTTGGTTCTTCACTCTCTTCCTCCCTCGCTTGTCATCAAAGATCGTCTCAATTTTGTTGACATACTATGTAGTAGAAGCACAGGTGCTTGTCAGCCCCATAATTTTAGAGCCATTGCAGAATCCTGATTACATGGAATTATGATATATAGCCACTAACAGCTACTAAATACATAATTATATTACAGATTTTCAGCATTTTTTTCTTCTTTTTTTTAAACCCCCATACCCTTGTTGTTCTTTCTAAAAGAACAGAGCGGGAAGCTTAAACTTTGTTTTTAAAAGAAGCGCTGCCAATTGAGGAAACAAACTCGTATGGCAATGACAAGTAACATGTCTAACTAACCATAACAGCACTGTTTTGAAGCAGAACAATACATAATAAATGAGTTATTGTCAAGATCTAAATGTGTATTTTTAATATATTCAAAGAGTTCCCAAAAGCGGTTTGTCTAAAATATTTAAGAATACTCAACTCACTCAATATTTCATTATTACTACAGTTTCAGATATTCATTTTACACTATTGAAAAGTTACACAATGGTCTCTTCCTAAAAACAATCAAAATCAACATGACGGGCTTTTTCAAACTAGCTCAAACTCATGGTACTTGGGTCACATTGGGTTTTTTAAGCCATAACCTCTTTTTTCTGCAAATATATTTAAAGAAACGCTTTTTTCCCTCTTTACCTTGTCAGTAAAGTCTGTCCCTGTCCAAAACCTTTCCACAGCCATGGGTTAGATGTCCGTAATACTCTTCTATCTAAATTTACACAAAGTGTTTACACATACTGCTCCAACACTATCTATTATTTTCAGCATCAGCTTTTTCCTGTTCAACAAGTAACCGCCTCCTTTTCTGTTCTACGTAAAACATGAATCATCATTCACTGCCACTCTGTCAGTCACAGGTCACATGGAAATGGGCACCAAAAATGCTGTCAGCCAGCCATAGTATCAAATTCAATTGTATGTGCAAATATACCTGGGGCATCCTGTGTATTTTCTGAGTGCTTCCACGCCGTGGTGCAGCTGGTTTGGGAGTGTCTGCAATGGTTGAAGATTTGGACACAGCTTGGAACACCTTCCTGTCCACTTTACTAGCATACCTGTATAACGTTTGGGGTTTAGAAGGCAACTGGAACAAAAGAAGTGCCAAGTTAATGCTCAGTTTCAGATAATTACTTGGTATCAAACTACAATAATTCCTTCTTCCTTTGTTTCTCAGGTTGACACATTTGTTACATTGATAACTAATAAAAAATACTCGTGTACTATTAAAGCAGGACATACATGGAATGTTATCCATTACCTTTGGGAGAGGCCTTGCAATAGGGATACACATTGGAGATAGCTTGACATCCTCATAGGGGTTATCTCTGGTCACATCACCTGAGGGTAAGGTAGAGTGATGGGAAGGATTAGACAGCATGCCTGGACGTCTTCAAGACATAGAAGCAACTGAGACAGCCTAAATTCGCTGAAACTACAACAAATTGTTTAAAATGCATGGTAGCACCTACCTGCCAAGTGCTGTGAAATACTGAATTTGTGACATTGCAATGCAAAAGCTATTATTATACACTTGTATCAAACAGCTAGGCCACATTTACAGACACTACATATTGTGAATAGGTGTTATGTCTGATCCCACTAGTCACAGCATGTTTTTCCATCGTGAACATGAGGAATAATTCTAGTAACTGTAGGAAATCTGTGGGCAATCAGGAAAAGGAAACATCATCAGTTGAGCTACTATACTTAGTACTACTAAGTAGTACTAAGTATAGTATGCTTAGTACTACTAAGTATACTATACTAAGAATAGTATACTTAGTATACTATTCTTAGTTAGCGTATTGTCTGTCTTGTTAATGTTGGTTTATAATGGAGCACTGTAACAAAAAAATTATTTCCCCCAGGGATCAATAAAGTATTCTGATTCTGATTATACAACAATAAGCCAAATCCTAACTGAGAATACTGAAATTTACATCAACCCAGTGACAGGTACCCAGGAGTCTTTATGATTTCCTGTCTTTGTCTTTTGTGCTAACAGCCAGATAAATCAGAAGCTCTGGAAGTTCATTCAAAATCAGCTCCACATTGGGAATAGGACTTACAGACGATGTCCTCGTAAATATTGTCATCAGAGTAGGCATGGTAAAGGGCATCATCTGCCCGAGGGCCTTGCTCTGCCGTCAGGCGTGATGCATCCTCATACTCAAAGGACTTCCTGAGACAGGGAGAGAAGCGATGGCAGTGAGAAAGGCTGTTGACCTAAAGATAACCATTATACTGTTCACTCTATTGTTGTATGTTTAGCCATTGCCCGACAACAAAATGCCTTGTTGATATGAAACCCAGAAAAACAAGGAGATAGCGCAGGGAGAGAGAGAATAATCATCATGGAAGGAAATGACTGAGCGCATGATAGAGAAGTTGCAATATGGTAACAGTTTTTCTGTGTCACAGACAGTACAGAAATATGGAAATGGACAGTCTGTCTGAGTGCAGAAACTGAAACTGCGATGTTACTAAAGTTCACGTGATAAAATACCTGGCCAGGTGCAGATACTTCATAATGTACAAGCTTAAATGAAAGCTTCCTCTAAAGATGGTAAACAAGAAGCCCTGTGCTACCTGTGTGCAGACATGACAGGAAGACTCCGAATCGAGCTACTGGCATAAACTAAAAAGGTTGATTACATTGCCTACAATACGTAACAACAAAAATATTGCACAATTAGTAGTTTGTGAAACTCTGTTTTACAGTTTATGAAACATCCTGTCCTGTGCTCTAACAGAGGGGAAACAGACTTTCTCTACCTACATGTGAAAAAAATAACCACTCAAACTTTTTAATCTATTGGACAAGCAAACTTTCGTCCTCTTTGAAAGGGTACCTAATGATAAAGGCACTGCAATCAATAACACCTACACCTACCTATGTTTGTATCTTTATATTTCAACAATAGAGTAGGAAATATACCCCATTATTCATTATACTGTCAAATGTATGAAATTAGAATTAATGGATCCTGATTAGAGGCCAATAATTAGAACCTTTTTAAAAAAACAACAACATATGGTCCAAGTATCAAGTTCTCTTTTACACTCAAGTATATTTTACCATTATTCACCGTCTAAAAACCTCTTTAAAGTCTTCAAAATGCCCGAGTCTATTATTAATATTTTACACTGCATGTATTATAAACATCTGCCAGTTTTCTATGACTGGCCAATCCAGGAAATTCAGCCAGTAGAGCCTTTGATGCAATAAAAGGTCATCAGAAACAAAAATTATATTACAGGATCTGCAGGGACAGCACCAGTCAAAAGTCCATCCAAAGTGCTGACTGGTATTGTAATCATTTCAAATGCTGGTGTCAAAGTGCGCGGTTCTACTGTCAGAAGGACAGCACCAGCTTCAGGTGGAATGGCCAAGTCAGATTTGAATAACACTGAAATATTGTGCACGCAGGATAACCCACACACAACTTCAGATATTTTACATGATAACAAATTGTCAGCAAGGTATATTAGTTTCTAAGGCCAAAGGGTGTACTTTCTTTATCTGCAGAGAAGTAAAATCTATCAATCATTTTTTTATATTTTGTTGAAACCATTGATCACTCCTTTTCTTTACCATTTTTTTCTCTATGTACAGTATTAAAAAGGATTTAATGTTTGCTTTTTATGTGTCAAAAGCAATGGTTTTCACAGGACTACAGATAATATAAGCATGTGACACAGTTTAGTCTTGTTTTACTCGGCCTTTAAAATAATGAAAGAGGGACTGTGTGTGTGTGTGTGCCCGATGAAGATGACCCTGGACCCATGGCTGCTCAGGAACTAGGCCATTTCTAGACAATAGACGACAATGCTGCCAGATATCATGTGACATCACACCAGGACCCCAGCCAGCAATCAGACTCTGACAGTACCCTCCCCACCCCAAAACTGCTCTACATATACTGTAACTGTTCAGTAAACCTTTCTACTACAGTTTATATCAAAGAAAGTGCTGCAACAGTTCCATTCTACTTTACTTTTAACAAGTACTCTATGATTATTTATGCTTTTCTTTTTGTGCACTTACTGACCTGTTCTTTTTATGTCTTGAAAGTCCTTCACTCTTTCCAACTGGACACGGAGGAGGTGGGAAGTTGGGTGGTTGAGCTACCCTCCTGGTTCTCGTGTTGGAGTGATTGTTATGAGAGGACCCTCTGTCCCATTGTACCATGTACCCTGTGTTGTTACTGTTCTTGGTTCCCCGATACTGGAATGTCCGCTGAGGTTTAGGAGGGGGATTAGCTTCACCTGATGATCCTCTGCCTTTCTCCCAGAGCAGTCTGTTTCCCTCAAGCTTCCGCCAGAAACCCCGGGAAGTGTAGAAGTTACCAGCAGGCATGTTGTCTTCTGGATCATCAGTTGACAGAGGTAGAGGTTTAGAAACTACTTCAGCATCCAAGATACGACCTATTTTTTGGTCACCGTTGGCAGTAATGATTCGTTTATCTGTAGCCTCCAATTTGGGAGATGCAAGTATTTGCGTTGAAAATGTTTTATTTCCTGGCGACGTGGCTAATAATTCACTGGAACCACTACGCACCGGTTCTGACTTCCTGCCACCCACACCGTGTCCAGCCTGTGCTGGGGATTCCTGAAAATCAAATTCCGAGTTATTTCTTTTTGAGACGTTGGCTTTTGCATGAAGACCGCCTCTCCAGCTCTCGTTTGGACAACCATTGCCTAGGAGATCTCCAGACAGAGTCCGAGATACAGTCAGAGGATGTACTTTCACTCCAGTATCATGGCCACTGCTCTGCTGACTGCGGCCTTCCCACTGGGAGATCTTCTCCTTGATGTTAATGACTTGCTTGTGAGAAGGTATCCTCAATGGTGGCCGTCCTTGCTTGGCTGTGGGAGCCTCATTCTGCAGCACAACCTCACCAACCCCACGTCTGACCTGCTCCGCTCTTAGAGCCAGCATATTGTGTCAGCTCATCGCGAATCCTCCATAGGTAAATGTATCAAGTATTTCCCCACAACAGACAGAATCTACTTATTGTTAATTATCCATAAACTGTAATCAAAATCAAAAGAGCCACAAAGTTTATTGTTGGTTCTGTTCTGTCTTCATGTCGTTGTGTGGTGGCAGAGGATCGTTTTCCTCTTGTCTCATTTTATAAAACAACCTAAAAAGAAGATGACAGACTAAAATTACTCATCAGTACAATTAAAACACATCCAAAGAGCACAGTGCACACTGTAGGATCAGAGAAACAAAACCCCAAGGGAAATCTTTCCCCTGAAACAGCATGCATCCAAAGGTGAAGACAAGAACATACTCATGTGAATGCTGGTTTCTGAAAATAAACCTAGTAAAAAAAGAGAAAAAAAGTAAAGACAGTGACAGTGACACATACACTACTATGTATGTGTGCAGTGACCCCCCCAAAAAAATAAAAAATTCTTCTAGGCCTAGGAGATTTCTGTGATGCCTTCATCCTAGGCCTCCTTATAGCTGGTCAAATACAAAAACACCTGTAGTACAGCAAATCAAATGCACCTCATTTGAAAGGCTGTCTTTAAATGGTATGGGGGAAGACCGTCTATGCCAGGGGTCGCCAATCCCAGTCCACGAGGGCCGGTGTCCCTGCAGGTTTTAGATGTGTCCTTGATCCATCACAGCTGATTTAAATTTAAATGGATAAATTACCTTCTAAACATGTCTTGAAGTTCTCCAGAGGTCTGGTAATGAACTAATCATGTAATTCAGGTGTGTTGACCCTACAGGGACACCGGCCCTCGTGGACTGGGATTGGGGACCCCTGGTCTATGCGATTTCATGAAGCGTTTGAGACACGGAAGAACACACGAATCTCATTTCTTGCATAAAGAGCCAACGACAATTGAAGACGGGGAGCATTTTAACCCCACCTATCCACACGTGGTCGAGCTCTAGATTAGGCGTTCCTCACGTGGTTTAACTATTTATCAGACACAAAAAATAAAAAGATATAAGACAACATATTCTAAATAACTGCGGCCTTTGCTATATGCACTTTAAACTAAAAATCACATGTTGTAAAACATGCACAGATTTGATGTCTGCGATTGTTTTGCAATGCACTCAGTCTGATTTATATATCCTTAGCCGGCATCAACATGATTGCTGAAGTCTCTTGCTCCTGCTTCGCTGGAACCAAACTATTTGGACACGTCGCACATGAGGATCAAGAAGGGGAGACATGGTAAAATTCCACAGCATAGTTCATGATGACTATGAGCTGCATTCCTGCAGATGGAGAGGAGGAGGGTCAGTAAATAGATTCAGCTACAGACAGTCGGACAGTCACTCAGTCTTGCAAATGACACCTTTGTCTGCGTTTGACCCAAATTAAACGTATGTTTGTAGTGGAATGCTGCTCCATCATAGCCAGACCATGCAATGACAATGCAGCTCCCGAACTGACCCACTTGCACTTATTCGTCTGTGTGCGGTATGTAGTACAGGAAGACATGAGTTGCGTTTCCTGAGCTGCAGGAAGAAGGATCAGCAGTGTCCATAATTATGGTGCAGAAAGATTTGCACCCAACCACTGGTTTAAGCTATGTTTAGATCATCTATATTCAAACACTGACTTGGAAATACAAGAAATCCAGAAATATATCAGCCACTGGCCACTTACAGTAACACTGTGAAACATATCAAAATGGGAGCTTCCCTCTTTTCCATGGTATTCAGTTAAAATCAAATATTAGTCCCGAAGCAGTGAACTGTACATTGTTGTGTAGAAAAGCCAGAGGGAAAGTCAAAATGAACGTTTTAATAGGGCATTCAGCTTTACAGAGTGGCATCCCAGCATTATTTTAGTGAAACTCACTGAGTCATCCATGTAGAAACTAGACAGGGGACACACAAAGCTTGGAGAACCCAGTCATCAGTTGGCAACTAAATTAAACCTAATTGCAGCTTCAAAACCGCCACAACACGCCCTGCAGAGACGTGTGGCATGACATGACATGTTGGAGGTGAGGTATTGTACAACTGTAGTTTATCACCAGCAGTGGCAGTCGGGAGTATAATAAAAGAAAAATGCAGGTTTGCTTTACACCAACATAAAAGGACAGAGCAAGATAAAGTACCTTAAAACGACTGATCCTTCAGCAGTCAGCGGGGTACAGAGGCATTCATTTCCACATCTCCAGTGAGGGAGTGACAGACAAACAGCTTTCATGAGGTGTTTTGTGTCAAGTTGTTGATGCTAGCTGTGCCAAAACAGTCCAAATCCTCTCATAAACACAGACTGAGGCAGATAAACAATCTAAACATCATTACTTCACAATACCACAGTGATAACACCTTGAGTGGCACATGAATATCGAAGAGGCTTTGTCTTGACAGTTATCAATTAACCAAGTTGATTTTCCTATATATTTGGCAAAGCAGACAAATGATTTTCATAGAGCATTTTACAGCCTTAAAGGACAGAGACCTTTGGGAGCTCTATGACCTGAATTGCCTCCATATTTTCTGTTATGAATAGTTACTATGTCCAGATAAACGGAGATAAACTGGAGATTAGCAGGAATGCATGCGGACTGAGTGAAAGGAAACTAGGCTCATGTTTTAAAAAAACAACAACAACTGTAAAAATAAATAAATAAATAAATAATAAAAAAATGTCACCCCGCCCTTGCAAAGAACTGAAACTTGGAAACTTAACGGACTCGTTATGGTGAAACCTGTTAAACCGCCGGCTGGAACAGCAATACAGGAATAACGTTTTAGTCACCAGTGAAATCGTACAGTGTAATAAACGAAAAGAAGAAAAATAATAAAAATAATTTATTGGATGCATGCCGAGTTGAAGAAAGGGACTTACTGAACCAGAAAAAGTATTGATACTTACATTAAAACGTGATAATAGCTATACATAATACCGTCAGATTAAACTTGCCATAGTTTCAGTGGCGTTTGGTGTTGACTTGTCACCATATGAAGAAAGCACAAGGATTGGAGAAGTGTGGGAGAGCTATAAATTTTACGGCCAGCTATTAGCTAACGATATCACTGAATGCAGAAACAGAGCTCCTTGAACATTTTAACTAGGGTTTTTTACGAGAAAGTGATATATAAGCTGTGAAGTAAGTGTAAAGATAGAAAGATGGGTAGATGTGATGGAATCCATACTACTTACCAAAGTATAAGCAGGACTCATGTTCTTTCCTCGTTTTCCCGGCGATAAAATAAAAACCGCAAATAAAATCCGACTGCGCTCGGTCTCATCGTTCAATCTGGAAAGGTCTCAATAACGTTAAAAAAAATGCTACCGTTGTTCAAAAAAAGCAGCCTACAGACTGGTAAACTTAACTTATGAGCAAGAAAACTTTATGAGGTATAAAAACGTACCGCTTATACTAATATCTAAACACAGCATGAACAACAACCACAAAGAAAGTGGCCACAGAGGAGAGAAAAGCTGCTAAAGCAGAACACTCCTCGCCCTCCGTCTTTGGACAATTAGCGTCAAGTCAGCCTGAAAATGCGATTTCCGGTTGTAACTTTCAAAATATAAGAGATAACAATTCACCGAGTGTCGTTTCCCCCAATTTATAAGGTGTTCATTGAACTTTCTGGGTGAAAATTGTTGTTTTTTTTTGTTATGTTCAGTTTTTTATGTTGTCCGTTTTTTATTTTTAATGTGTCCTTTATAAAACGTAAATATTGTAAAAGTAAATGTATTTTAGTCCACTGCAATTGTACGTTTGCTGGCGTCATTTATTCCGGTGTCCAACAAGACCACCGGGATATCGACATCATAACACATGCCACTGAGTTTTGGGAGCAACAAAAGTATCTGAAATGATTTCAAATAATAAAGGAACAAGCAACATTTACATGCATTATCCACCACACCATTATTTATGACAGCACTGCTGGAAGTGGTTAACAAATAACTGTGTTAGGGGGTTGTAATGCAACATTTCTGTCTTGTTTACAAAATAGTTTACCGTGCTTTTATTTGACTTCCAGCTTCCCTCATACTGTTTCTGTCGAGCTTGACGCGCTGACTGTGAGAAAGTTTTCCTGAAGCCTCCAAGTGAGACGACGTCATCACCTCAACTCCTGCAGCTGTCAACACTGAACAAATACTGCTGTCTTTGAGTGTCCTGGGAAATCTAGACACTAGGTTAGGAGCTCCATCTTTGCGATCGCACAACTTAATAAACATAACTAGGTGTTTAATTTATGACGTTTGTGATGCAGAGCTTTAGCCTCTCTAACGTAATTGTGAACTTTAGACTTTATACCTTGTCTCAAACTTGATCTTGGCAACATGATTAAATGTGAACTCGGTTCATTTAGGTTAGAACAAATGCTGACTTTCATATCGTGTTTTGACTTATAGCCTAAGGTAATTTTGCTGCTAAACGTTAAATAAATAAGGTAAACAGCTTTCAAGAAATGTCTTAAGGCAACACAGTAGGACAAGATCTTCCTGTCGGGTAAACAATTTGGCAACGACCACAGAAATGCAATTGCACCGTTTATTTCCTTCCATTCTTATACACGTTTCTCCAACTGAAAAAAACATACTGTAATGTGCAAGTCACAGATGTGCAGATTATAAAAGCATTTCTTCCTTTAATAGAGAGAACATCTGTATTTTAAATGGTCAGTTTCTTTGAGATTCCACTGCGATAAACAGACGTAGAAACTTTTCCATATCACAAAAGAGAGTAGTGTCTAAGTAAGGGTGGGTCCGGTCGGTTTACTCAGACTTCAAGCCCTCCTTGATGAGGTTGAGCTCGTAGCACAAGGTCTCATAGCGGTACGCCATACGGATCTGAGGCACGTTGGTTTTGCGGATGTCGTTGCCCTCTGGACCCTCTTTGAGGTAATCCTTACCCAGGAAGTGGCGCTTCTCCTGCAGCGCAAAAAGAACCCCACAAAGAAATGTTTTAACTGGCAATTACAGTCAAAGTTCTTCAAACCACCTTTGGTAGTTCTCACTATAGTGTCACTAAGAATATATGTATTTTGTAATGTTCTCTTGGCTCTTGTTATTCTCTTTGACTCAAGTACAGACTCGTAGGTGTGTGTCTGTTTTACCTCATCGGAGAGGGCGCTCTGAAGCACGCTGTTCCTGGCAATCTCACACATGTCACAGGTGCTGAGCTTGAACACCTGAGCTGCAATGGCATATTCTTCCATTAGAGGTTCCTGTGGACATAAAAAAAACCAAGACTGATATTACTGAATACTCCTGCTTCAACTTGAGATCATATGAAATGGATTGCATTAAAAAAAAATTGCACACAACACCAATTTATCTGATTTACAGAATGTGTTTATCATCAATGCTGACCATCTCTGTCCATCTACATATTAAACAATAAACAGCACAACAGGCTGCGTGTATTTGTCTATGTTGTCACCAAAGGCTCAGACCTTGGTGTAGTGGAACTGCATGGGATCATCGGTGGACAGAGACACCACCAAGCCTTTCTTGTGGAACTCAAGCAGCGGGTTCTTGGCATACTCAAGGAACAAGCTATTGTTGCTCAGTGGGGACATGGCGATCGGGATCTGGGTCAAGACATACAGGTACTGCAGCACGGGGCTCTGTTTGTGAAGGGTTGAGGGGAAAACAGTGACTTTACAAGCTTCATATTTTTAACAAATATAACAACACAAAATATAAATAGGCAATAATCAATGTTTTAACTTGCTCACAAGAATCATGCCAAATCTGAAATTGAACTTTACACTTCAATACTAGAATTACATGTCAGTTGTATCATTGGCCACATTCAACTAAAGAGTTAGGCTGACTTAATCTATCACTGTTAACTTGTCAGACAGATATTATATAAAATGTGGTGTATAGGCAAACACATAAAAAAAAAAACATTTTCTACTTTGATTCGACTTATATTGTGTTTTAAGACTATTGTTATGTTTGCTTGGTCTGGCAATTGCCTGATCATGCATATGAATTGAAGTGCATTTTAAGGCAAATGAAATGCTGCATTCAGAGGACTGACCTTCTTGAGGTTAAGGCCATGAGAGATATTGTCAGCAGTCATGAATGCAGCCAGCAAGTGGGTTATGGCACCAGCCTCACCGCAGTGAGGCCTGAACATGAATGTGTTCATGCCCCTCTGTCTGGAGAGCAGAAGAATAGGAATGATACAACAGAAAGTAGCAGACATACTCAGACAAGAGTTAAATATATACTCACTGTAAATGTTTAGAGAAAATAATGATCTCTGACAAAGAAATCCGAGTGCTTCAATCCAATAGGATGAAAAAAGAAAAAGCATGTATGGAAATAGCATTACTCACTTGCGCAGCTGGTTGAGGGCAGCGATATTGGCATACATGTAGTAGATGTAGTAGGTGTAGGAGGGGTTTTTGTCGATGTCCCACTCCTCTGGTTTGGGGCTTTTAGTGGAGAACATGTGACCACTGTGTTTGGACTCATCATCCACACTGTCAAAGCCTGTCACCTACACATTGAGTAGAAAACAATGGATTATCCCGGATTATACCGTAGTATTCAGATTGAATCTTTTCTACAGCTATATCTTTATGTGTGGATTGGAAATCAAGGTTCAGCATATATTTTTGTGTCTGAACAGTGACTCACATGCTTGAGGAAGATGCTTAGCTCAGGACTGGACTGTGGATCAATGGTGGCCTTGAACACAGGCAGGAAAATGTTCTCCAACATTTTGCCAAAGTGTGGCACAAAGTTTCTGCCTCTGAAGATGTCGCTGAGATAGAACATGGACAAATGGCATTATTTAAATGAAAATTTCATCCATTCTTGGTAGCAGTAGAGGTAGCTTTAGTATTTGAATGCATATTCTTTAATGCAGGCAAACAAAAAGAAAAAGCATGAAATGTATAAATGTAAGAGTTTTCCATCTCTCTGACAGTTTGGTGTGTTTATACAGAACAAAGAGAAGACTGAAAACTTACTAGATCCTAGGTATTTGAATCATCCATTTGAGGTTTGGGGAGTAAACCCTGTGCCTGACGAACCAGTTCGAGAGCTTGTTCCACTCGTTGGCGTTGCAGCCATAAATGGACAGACGGGGCTCAGCATACTGGTACTTGGCTTCCTCGAGATCACTGGCTACTTCCTGGTTTTCCCAAAGATCAAATCAAGCTCAAATCACCAGTTCAGTGTATAAAACTGAATGTTAATAAAGTAGTTATAACAACCTTGATCTTCAGCTGCCACAGTGACAGTTATACAGTTTTACAGAGAAGTCGTTTGAAACTAACCTTGATGATAGTGGCAAAGTACTCTCCATTGATGTGATTCTCTGTCTTCAGGTACAGGTCACGCAGCTCACTGGCTCCTACTGGGTTGTACTTGGCGTTGAACTTATCGAAACGCTGGAAGGTTTGTCTACCCTTCAGAGAAAGATACAAGATGATAATTTAGACCAAAGAAGTTATAAAACTGAACAGGCAACACGACACATTTGGTTTTAATAAAAGTGTTTGCTTTTATAGAATACAAACTTTTTGATATTTAAACATTTCCTCAAGAATTAGAAAAGAAGTTTATCCTATAGCTGAAACACTTGATGAATCCAAGGTCCACTACTGACGATGTGCCCCAAATGTTAATATGATCACTTAGATCAGATCTCTAATCCCTAAACCTAACCAAGGAAAAATGGCAGATTAGCTTGGGTAAAAGAACGAAGGTTGAGGTACACAACGATGTGTGCCGCTGGTAACTTTTCTGGGCTGCTTTTCCTCATAACAGCCATCCTCCAAGACTTTCTGCATTTAAACCAATGCATTGTAAGGGATTGTAACATCTAATCCTTTTACTGAATCTGATCCAGTTTTCAGGTTTTAGCAATGTGTGGCCTACAGAGGTGAGGCCACACGTTGCTCACCCAGCAGCAGTTTTTCCTGCGCATTGGTCATCATGGTACAAGTCCTGGTAAATGGTAAATTTGGCAGCATTATAATCTTTATGTTCTATGTGTACAATCCTTTAAAGATAATATAAAACTGATGGTTTATCTTTCAATTATAATGTTTGGGGGGTTTTTTTTGTTATTATTTGACTATTACATATTTTTATTCTTATCTTGAACACTTAATGGCTTTCATGGAAATGTATCCTGTCAGTATGTGAGCCTTGTTACTTTACTATAATAAAAGTCTGTTATTAGTTGTTAGATTACTAAAAAAAAGAAGAAAAAAAAAAGAAAAACCCACAGCGTGCACATCCAGTGAGTCCACAGTGAGGTCGTATGGATGCAGGTTAAGGGACTGAAAGAGCTCCTTCATGGTGACCTCCTTCCCTTTGAGGTTGTGCACTACACGTTCAGCATCCACACGGTAAGACTTTTTGATAAAGCGCAGCAGGTGCTTCTGGTTCATGCAGGCAGCAGCATGGATGTGAGTGTCCACCTGGAAAGGAATAGAGATGGCAGGGTGATCAGTGAGGTTTTTGTTTGTGCAATGTAATACATGTGATCGGTCACAAGAGGGAGCTAAAGACACCACGAGCTGCACTGCAGCTGGAAGTAAGGAAGATGATAGAAAATGTGTGAAATGATCATGCACA